CAAGGAATAAACTGGCGTTGCTGCATGTCCTTTCCCCACAGCCAAGCTCAGAATTACATAACTTAGCACACCAACACACCTGAGGCATTATACCTGCAAATGCCAATTTTTTTTCTAGTGGGGACCTGCAGTAGGTAAGGTGGAGATTTACTAGAAGGGCTTATCCTAAGAGCACAGTTTTGTGAAGGAGTGATTTATAATGCATAGAACAATCTAAAACCCAAATACAGGAAAAACACTCTCCTGAGAACTCAAATTTTACTGAAAAGTGTTACCATTGCTTTAAACTTCCACCTATAATTGCAATGAGGATTTTAAGATCACTTCAGTATTTGTCAGTCAATTCAAATATACCTATGAAAGTCCTGCATTTCTTGTCATTATAATATGGGCTCTGCTTAACGTTTTGCACAGAATCTATTTCTTCAAAACATATGGTCAAGAAATGGTATTGCTATTGCTCTGCCCTCAGCTAGAGCCTCACAGTCTTGCACTGTCAGAACAAGAGACTTTCAACCTTTGGAAACCCCTGTCACTTTTCAGTCTTTAAACACTGGGGTTTATTATTAAAGAGTGAAAAAGTATTGGAGCACTGTATGTCACCTCATTAAGACAGACTTGGTTTGAAATATCAGGAGTGAGCCACATAATATCGCATATGTATTTCCTCACCTTAGAGAAAAATTGTATCAGTTCTTAAAAGTGTGAAAATTACTCGGTTTTGTACTAGATAACTTTGCCCAGCAGCTCAACCGTTTGCCACTCTGCTGTCTGTCTTGAGGGTGTAGTAATCTCCATCACCCTTGCGTTTTCCCTCCTAACACATTAATGTCAGATTTGTTGGTTTTGTGATGGCTTTGTTTTGTTTTTTTTTTTTTAAACAGCTCTATAAATAATACTCCTCTACAAGCCTTGTTATCCTTGTGGTGTCTGAAATACCTACTTATGCTATATTCAAGCTTCTTTTTGTACAACTCGTATGAATCTGCCTTCCTTAAAAAGAAACAAATGGTGAAAATCTGAAACATTTACATAAAGCTAGATCATTTCCGAAGGCTCTTTCAACTCAAATGTCAGTAATTATTCTCAAATGTCAATGTGACAAGATGGGAATTATTGATTGTGCCTTGGACTTAATGTTAACAAGACAGACTGAGGACAGCAATTTAGGAAGGTGTTTCTGAGCCAAGAGGAACTGCCATTTGGATGTGTATCAACTTTTATGAGATCATAAATTTGCCTACCAATGACTTCAGGCTTCTGCCAGTGGAAGGAGATGGGTGTTGTATGCCTTGGATGTTTCTCAGAACAGGCTAGACAAAGTTTAAGTAAATCTGATCTGGCTGAGGGATTGACTAAAACATCTCAAGAAGGCTCCTTTAGCTCAAGTTGCAGCAATTATTCCTGAGTAAGTAATGGGGCAAGGGTGGCTCACTATGCTCTCTCCAAAAACTTGTTACAAGAAATTGCAGACCAGGTCTTACACAGCTCTGTGTGTGTATACACACGTGCCTGTCCTTGGGGAAGTGTAGATCCCTGAGATATAAGGAGCTCTCAGTGTAGCCTGAGATATACAGCCTCAGAGGAAATCTCTCAAAAGCCAGAGACAGAGCATGAACTGTGGCTACATTCCATTGAACTATTTTACCTCTTGAAACTTTGCTGGCTTAGAAGAAAACTTTCCGGGCCAAGCAACACCTTACAGATGTAATTTCAGAGCTCCCATTTTTCGTTTTGCTGGCTAAAAAAGTCCCTGAAAGGACTTTCACAGTGTGGGTGCCATGGGAAAGCCGGCTGAGGTCATTGTGCACGTTAACACAATTAACTGCCTAATGCTCTAACACTGAAGCCAGGGTTTTGTTAACAACTTAGTCCTACTAACTGCAGTAATAGAAGATGGTAATGCCAGTGGCCAGCCTCTTCCCTTCCCCCAGATCTACACTGGACTGCACTTGGGTGCTCTGCTGACACAGGTCCCTTAACTGAGCAGAAGTACCACCAGTGTTTACAAAGTCACTTCAGTGCCTGTGGAAGAGTCAAGGGTCCATCCTATGACTGTTTGGCCCAAGCCATCAATGAGCGAGCAAGTCCTTTATGGAAAAGGAAAGCTGAATTAGCTGGAGCAGGAGCACAACAAAGTCATTCTCTGTGTATCGGTGTCTTTATACTTTATGTCACTTGTGACTGTTTCCCCTAACACAGAAGGTACAGCTTTAACCTTTGGAATAAAACACACTATATGAAAGGATAACTTGATGTGAGAGTAGCATACTTGTCGGCCTTCAAACCTGCCGCCATGCTTGGGATGCTTTTCAAAACTCAGTTTCTGCAGCAAGGCCTCCAGTGGTCCCTGAATACCACTGATGTACTCCAAAAGCACTGGTGGCCTCACCGCCACTGGGAAACAGGACTTGTTGCTGGTGGCTTTAACCATAAAGACGAAAAAGTGATGGCCAGGCTTCCCCTCTGCAGCTTCACTGTGCTTGGGCACATCACCACGGCTACTGCATCACAAGCCCCCACACTGGATGAATGGCTGGTGGTCACCTGGAGCCGTAATCTCACCCCAACCCACTGTCCGAGCAGCTCTGGGCCATTACTGGTTTCCACGGGGTCTGTCCCCCCTCGCTAGCAGACAAGAATTATCCCATGAGGCTTGACAGAATTTGGCAACCGAGCCGCAGAAACACACCGCGCAAAGCCGGAGCCTCCGGGACCCACGTGCAAAACGCGCCAGCTCACACCGCAGCCGGTGACGGCCATGCGGTGCCGGTGCCCAGACCTCGGCCTGCAGACGCCTCCGTTACGCACACCTCCCGCTCCGGTACCTGCCGGCGCGTTCCCGCGCTGCGGACCCCAGAGTTCAGCCGAACGCGCGGGCTCCCTTGGTTCCCGCGCTCCCCGAGGCGCCGCGGAGACACCGGCCGCGGCGGGGCTGCAGGACGAGCCTGCGGGGGCTGCAGGACGAGTCTGCGGGGGCTGCAGGACGAGTCTGCGGGAGCTGCCGCCAGTGGCCGGCCCCGGCCCCACAGCCCCCCCTTTCTGCTAGGGTCACCCCTGACGCCGTGGGTGAGGTCAGGGTGGTCACCTGATGGCCCGCGCGCCCCCACCGCGGCCTGGTTCCCTCCCGGCGCGCAGGTCCCGCGCGGCGCGGTTGAAAGCGTCACGTGGTCTCGCGCGGCGCCAGCCATAGAGGCGGGCGCGGAAGGGTAGAGCGGTGTCGTTCTGGCGCGCTGTCCGCGCCGCCATGTTGGTTACGGGCAGGATCAGGGAGGCGGCAGGTGCGAGGCGGTCTCCGCTCAGGCCTGGGCTTGACCGCGGCTCCGAGTCCTGCTGTGCTCTGCGGAGCCCAGGCTGGTGTCCGCGCTGCGGCCCCGGGGTGCGCGGGTGAAGGCGGAGAGGAAACAAAATGCGGCACAGCGTGGCGGCTGCGAGCATGCCCAGACCTTGATAGAACAGAGTCTCTGTGAGGCCCGGGAACGTGGCAGCAGTGCTCTGTGGAGTCACCCTAACGCAGACTTAGGTGTAATTCTCCTCTTTTCCAAGTGCAGGAGATATGTTCCCTCATGAAAATAGTACATATTCAGCTGTTTGGGCAAAGGTAGGAGGCTTCTCCCTAGCCAAAGCTCTTGTCGGGTGGAAGCACCTTCCGAAGGGCGTTCTCCAAGCTGATGTCTGCAGAAACTGGGAGCTGCATGCAGAGCCTCCTGGCTCAGCTCCTTCCGCTGCTAAAAACCGCTTCACCCTATGCTCGGCAAGCCACTGCTTATACTTTTATTCTGGCAATTTGGAGAACTACGGTGCATCAGGGCAGCTTTAAGCTCTGGCAGAAATCACAATGCAGCCGTGCTTTTGCCCTGCTTGCTGGTTGCAGTCCCCTTCCCCCATTAGGTGAGCTGCTCTTTGGTTTACTGGGCGCTGACAACGACAGTAGGTAATTCCTGGAGCAGCTGTGGAGGAGTAATTCTCTGATGCCAGGTGCTTCTCCTTCATAAAAATGCTAAAGCAGCAAGGCATAGTAATTCTCTGACTCATGCTCCTCAGTAATGTGTTGCTAAATACCAAACAAATGAGTCTGATTCTGCCTTTGGCAGTACCAGGAAAAATCCAGAGTAACACCAGCTGGGTAGGGAACACCCCACTCACTCCAGCGTCATTAAGAGCAGAGGCTGTATCCATTATTTATTTCCATTTAAATGCATATACATTCATCCCTTGATGTGTGAATATACTCCATTGTAGGAGTATACACTGTCTGTGAATTATTCTGCTTTTAACTGTTTGGTTTTTTTTCTGCATTTACCCATACATTAACTGGAACTAATCAGCCGTGCAGCATTATCTGTCCTCTGATCTGTGGTTTACCTTAGCTTAGGAAATAGTTCGAAAATCTCCCCACAAGCCTGCTGTTTCTAGGATGGGTTTCAGCTTGTGTGACCTCCACTATACAAAGAACACAATGAAAATGCAGCTGCTTCCGGGCCAGGTACCCAGTAGAAATTGAATTACAACACAGTGAAGTGAAAGGGGAAATTTTGAGGAAAATCACACGTAAATCCCCTAAAAATCAACAGTCTTTAAAGCTAAGAGAAAAAAATGCAGTTACCCTATCTGACCTAACCCCTCTCCTCAATTCTTGACTGAACTCGAACAGAACTTCCTGGACTAGTCTATGTTATGAGAGCATATGAGGTTACCAGCTTTTTCCACAGGTGGTTCATGGCACCCTCTTTGTCAGCAGAATTGAAGGAGTTATTTGTCTTGTTTCAGCCTGCTTTGTAGTTTCCTTGACTTACTTGGAAACCTCGAGGCCCATGAGAAATGTTGAGAGTTTTCAGATGCCACCAATTCTGACAATGTGTAAATCCTTACAAATCCTATGGTTTGTAAATCGTAGGTTTCAGGACAACAGGCAGGACTTCTGCTTGGTTCTGTTGGTTCTGCTTGGTTCTGCTTGGTTCTGTTGGTTCTGCTTGGTTCTGTTGTCATGTTTATTTTTTTTTCTACTGTAAATACTTTGAAATTTACCATCAACCTGGCTGATGATTGGCACTGTATCCTGGGGTAATGAAGGGAGGAAAAAAACCACAATGGGCTTTGAAGCAGATGTCTCAGAGAATCTAAAAAAGTTCAAATGCCACTAAAATTCTCCTATAGCTGCTCAGACTTCTCTCTTTTAGCCTACTTTCTGTTTTCATTTACACTAATGGAAAATGACCAATATTGTAGTACTGGTAGTAGATACTGGAACAAATATGGCATCTAATAGCTCCCTAATTTAAAGTCAGAGGGGTTTGACCTAAAGCTCAACAAAATCTCCCCAGGGATTCCCTATACAAACACACAAAACACACCCTTCCCAGATGGTCCGTGTGGAAGGCAGAGACAGCGCAAGAAATGGCTCTTGGAGAGTCCTTATACTGGTCAGTCACAGGCTGCTGCGAACCAGGGAACTTCACGCACCATCTCGTTATTTGATGGGGTTCACATTCTCTCAGATTTGTGTGTGATGAATAATGCAAGTGTGTTGAATCAAGCTGGAGGAAAATTGTTCTTTCTCCAGCTTATTATTAACTCCTTGTTGCATAATATATTTGGCATAAGTTTGTTCTGTGGCATTTTAACATGTAGGTAGATGATATTTGTATGTGAGTAATTTTACTGTTACATGTGCTTCTGTTTTATATTTGATTTTAAATTAGAGAACAAAAAGGCATCCTTTCCACTTGGTTTTGCTCCTTACTTAATGCAGGCACGTTTCCTATGCTGGGTATTCTGCAGTTTTTGCATGCTCTGGCTTTGAAAGGCTTCAGTGATGGGGCTTAATCTGAAAAAAGGTACTCATTTGTGGTGTGTGTTTCTTGAGATTCCATCTTTATTTCCCATTTTAATAGTTAATTCTATCACAAGTTCATATGTGTCCTTGGGACTGTTCAAAATATTTTCCCTTTCCTGTTGTTAAGACTAGAATATGAGTGCATAGCTTTAATTTTTGTCTACTGCTTTCATTCTTACTAACCAAACTGCATTTTAATTGTGGTTTATCTTCAATCCTCTAGAGACACCAGGTTTTGCCATTTAGAATAAGTGTATTTTGAGAAGGAAATCTTTTTTTTTTTTTCTAAACAGCAGTGAGTGTTTAATCTCAGAGCTTTTCAGAAGTTTAAACAACTTCTGTACACCCCTCTGAAAACGCACACTGCTCCCAGATTTTCAGCTCCAGCCCAAGGAGATTCCAACTCTCCAATTGCAATTTTGCAGGCACTTCGGGGGATTGCTGCTTTTCAGGACAGCGAGCAAGACTGGGGTCGTGGAGCCCTCTGCTGGGTATATTACAGAAAGCAGACAACTGGAAGCTTAAGTCATTAACTCTGAAAATGCTGCTGCTGTGCTCTCATATTCCTTTCGCAGTTGATTACAAATGTGCTTAATTTGAAATCCAAAAGAGGTTTATTTCCATTGCTCCTGGGAAAAATACTGGTACAATTTCAGAGTGGTACAGGTAAGTTAATCTTTATCTCAAGGTGACAATTAGATTTATTAGAGTCTTTTTGTCTTTACTCTTCCTTGGTATCAGGAAAATTCTACATGAATATTTTATTGGTTTCTTACTGCTACACGTACATCTTATCACAGCTACAAAAAGGTCTTGTAGTCAAATGACAGATATTTCTGAGGCTGTCTGTGACAAAAGGGTCTGTTTCATTCCTGTATTGTGACTTATTTAGCTTTGTAGTGTTCACAGGTATAAAAACTTAATTCTTTTTGTGACAGAGAAATGGGCAATTCATGTAAAAATAAATAGCAAAGTACATGAATAACAAGTAAGTGAATAATTTGTCATAATTCTGTCAGGGAACTCAGTGTGCTTTACATTTGTGGTTTATAATTTTATATACAGTAGGTTGGAGTAGAGAAAGATGATGACTGTTTCCAAAAATTCCGTGTCAGAGCCAGCAAAAGAAATCAGGAATTTATATTTCCTGACTCATCCTACAGTTAGAAGTGTGCTACTTGGAAGCATTTGTTGGAGGGGAAAAAAAATAGAAAAGAAAACGTGAACAAAGGGTTTTTCCAGTCTCTGATTACATGTTGGGCTAAGCCAGTCTATAAGGGGCCAGGGTGTCTTGAGCTGCTCCTTTGATTTGGCCAACTGTAAAGGAGCAATAGGAAGATGCTGCTGAAGAGCAACACGTGTCCAGTGGAGGGTGAATGTTGTTAAATATAACTTGCCTGCCCTCTTCTAGTTTGGGCTTTATTATAGAAATTATCCTCTTCATATAGCAGAGTTTGGTGAACAAGAAGGGTAGGTTTACTGCCTTTTTTATTTTACTGTACTACTCATTACTTCCCAATGGGATCAGTTAATTCTGCAGTTTGGGAGAAGTGCACCCATTTCTTTTCCTGGTAGCCCAGTTATTTTGCTTGCTATCCAAGACCAAGTAAGTCCTTGACCATGGTTTGCGGGCAGCAGGTGAACTGATCTGTGCAGGAGCAGTGGCAGAGCAGGGGAACTACTGAGGAGCGTTGATGAAGAACAGTGCCGTGGCTGAGCACTAGATGCCACTCTGAGGCCGCAGTAGGAGCTTTGCAACTCTGCAACACCCCGGTGGAGAAGGCTGGGAGCGTCAGTTCCCGGAAAGCCGCGTGTGGGAGGGAGACAGGCCGTGCTCCTTGCATTACATACCCCTCCAATGACGCTAACAGAACAAATAGCTAAAAGGTGAATCAGGGGCCACCGGTGGTGGATTGAGGGCCACAGCAGGTGCTTCAGATGGGAGCTAAACTTCCAGAGTTAGCAAATAATCTCCCAGCTTCAATGGCTTTGTGCACAGGTGTCCTCACTTCTGACCTATTAGCCAGATGGGCTCAGAAGGAAGGGGGAAGAGCTAGGTGAAAGGGCAGTTATAGCTCACTGAATGGGATTTCATGAGAGTTTAAGATTGATCTGAAGACCTGGGGCTCTTACAGCATTTCTGCTGGTAGAGACCCTCTGCAGGTAGGCCTGTAAAAGTCTCTGATGATAAAATTGGGGTTAACAGCCCCCTTTGTCACAATTCCTATCCATGTCTTAAACATTGCAGCATTGTATTGAGAACCCGACATCAAAATACTCTATAATCTGACTAAACTAATAATGGGCATGAGTCACAAACCTCAGCATGGGTTTCTGTGCAGTTCAGAAAATGTAGGGGTATCTGAAGAAAGGTTTGGCTTGCTGTCAAGATAAAAGGCTAGTTGTGGAATTTGGATTTAGATCAAGGCTGAAATAACTGAAGTTTTGATGGGGCAGCATCTTTTCTGGGAAGTGAGCCTGCTTTACTGAACAGTTTGAAAGTGAACACACTGAATGACCCACACTATACATCTTTTAAAAAATACTCTGTGTTTGTACAAAGTACTGTTAACAACTTGAACATGTTGATTTAAAGTACTGAAGAAGCTTGTGAATAGGGGTAGTGAAAGCAGAGAAAGATAAATAAATAAATATTTTTTTATATGGAATGATTTACCAGTGCAACATCAGAGTTTTAATTTAACCGTGTGGCTTGTAGTCGTTAGCCTTGAAGATGAATACATATCAATCTGGAGGAAACAGGAATGGATACATCCTGATAAAAAATCCTAGTCGTGGATGCATATTATTTCTCTTCAATTACTTGGTATTCCTGCATAATCAGGAATAGCGTGTGATGCATTGCTAAGTGAGTTCTCTTGGTCTCAAACAGCAGGCTTCTAGAGAAAATAAGATCTTGGCTGCTATTAGCTACGGGAGGTTTTTAGACCCGAATGGTAGAGGTGAATGTCGCACAGCTGAGGTTTTTTTGGAGTGCTGACTTCCAGCAGTGCTTTGGTGGCGTGTAGTCTTCTGCAACCCTTCCATGTGAGCTGTGATTGGATCCAGCCTTGGTACAGTAGAAAATTGCTCTTGGCAAAGTGAGAGTATAATGCCTTGTTTGTCTGTTTTATTATCTGTACCTATTGGTCTGTACAGAGAATAAATATCTGTTACAGTAAATATCTGTTTGAGTTAGCTCACGACAGATATTTTTGGTGCTGAAGTTCCTGTATTTGCTTCTTGATGACCAGCTTAAGCATGTGTTATGTGGGGGTCATAAACCTTACTAGTGAAACATAACCCGTGTGGGCTAGAAATTTTGTGGCACTTTGGTAGCCTTGCAAAATGGTTTCTAGTAAAAAGCAAATGAAATATTCTGTCTCTCCTGCCACCATCTACTTTCTGGAATAATTACCTTCTAGCAGAGTGATTGGTCAGTAATGGACAGAAAGCTCATATGTATCTTTCAGTGTATCTATGAATATGTGAAGTGCATTGTCCTATGGTTGTCTCATCGCACTAAGTAATCCAGCTGGGGTCTCTAGCTGTGTGAACTAAAATCCCTACAGTCAGTCTGTTTCTGGTTTCCCTAACTTGAATTTGAATGTAGAAGTGACTACTTTGAAGTACAGAATTCTTAGGTAGTAAGGAAGGAGTTTGCTCTTGTGTATTTAAATTCCGCTGCCATTGCACACACAGTTTTTTATCCATGAAGCCACCCAAGTCCTAACCTGGAATTTCAAGCTTTTCTGTCGGCAACATCTATCTTCTATGGCCCTCCTCATATTAGCATTGATCTACAGGGGAAATAGAGAACACGGCTGTGTTATTATATACCCGGCTGCAATTTCTGTTCTAGTGATTGAGTGTACATACAGAATTTTTGAAACATGGGCATTCTAACTTATTTTGTCTTCCTGTCAATAGCATGGCACTTGTCCAAATTATGGGTCGATATCTGCTGATCTTTTTATGTTAAACTGTAATGAAGTTGCCTTTCTTATTGGAGATGTGATCTTGCTCTAAGCAATGCTTTTAACTTGGAACTTTTGGAATGGAAATGGGGGGAGAGGGGAAAGGGAAGCAGAGGAAAGACTCGGAGAGGAATGAGAAAAAGCGGGGGGTAGGAGAGAAGTAGCAGAAAAAGTAAGAGGTAGGAGCAGAGGAAGAGGGGGACTGGCTTGTTAGGACTTGTGCTACCATGGATAAGAGCTGTTAGCCTCTACTCTGTTGTTGAAGTACTGTCAAAAAGCCAGTGGTGGATGCTGGGAGTGGAAGCCTGGCTCTCTGGAAATTTCAGACAACGTTACCTTTAAATTCTGTTTATGGTTGTCTCACTCCATTTCATCTAGTTTGTGAAATTAAATAATTGAAAGAACACAGGATATATGGGATCAGGCAAGGAATGGGGAATGAGAGGTGTAAAAAGGGGTATTAGACCAGCTATTCTTTCCCTTGCATAGAAGCAGTGCAGGATCATCTGTATATTGACTTCTCCAGGTCTTTATCTAGATCTGAAGAGTTTCAGGATATCAGTGTTGTGCACTAGCTATAGCACAGAACCACTAAATGCCTGTCACTTCCTAGTGCTGCCTCTGCTTTTGTTTTATTCTTGTTTCACTTTCTTGGACAAAATGTAGAGGGGAATTTTTGTAATGCTGTTTCTAGGGTAAAAGGTTTGTGAAAGGAGATGGTGTGTCAGCTTCTAGAAGGGAGTTGGGGTACTATATTAATTTTATTTCATAGGGAAAAGCAGCGAAGAGGGGAACTTAGAGTCTGGAACTGATAGTCCGTGGCGGAAGTTAACAAACACTGTTTTCTAGCAGAAAAGTGATACTGATATTTTGGTGGGGTTGTTTGTGACAGATTTAAGAATAAGTTGGTTCCTTTTGTGGCCTCTCTGACAAGTGTCTCTGAGCCACTCTCTGTTATCTCAGGTTTCTTTGCTATGGATATGTGCAAGCTGAAGAAATGCTTCAGAGTCCAAATGTGTCTCACTTGTGCCTTTGTCCCATTCGGAAGGGAGGGCTGAGGCATGAGTATACACCAGTTCCCCCTAGTTTCTCTGTGAAGGCAGGTAGGCACACCAGTAGGTAAAGCGCTGTGGGACATGCCAGACTGGTCCCTGAGCTGGCTGACGTGAGGGTGTGGAGCCACCACTGCATCTGCCTTGCTTAGAGTAAAGGTAGCCAGTCTTGCATTCTCCAGAGTATGTGAAGTTCCCTGATTCTTCCACTGGATTTCACTGGTCTGTAATCCCAAATACCAGAGCCTTACTTCTGTCTAATTGTATGCAAGAGATTGTTAGTTTCTACCTTGTTTTGCTCTTGCCTTAATCTTTTTCAGTCATATAATGCAGGGTAGGAAAAACAGCAAAACACATCCATGCATGTATATTGTTTTTTATCTGCAAGGGTCTTCTAATACTTTTTCTGAGACTCTGTTTTTTTTTTCTGAGACTCTGGTTTTGTTCCTAATTCTGTGGTAGTCAAATTTCCTCTCTGTCCCTTAATTTTCCTGCCTATAGCTTAGAGATAGGATATTTAATACCATATGGAAATAAACTTCAAGTTACAACAAAAGACTGATAAATATGAGCAAAATATCACTCTGCGCTTGTAGCTGGCTCTCTCCTCTGGCCTTTTTGTTGCTCTGCCTGTCTTACCTTGCTTTTCCCATCCATAGATCTCTGATTTTCACTTAATGCAGTAAATAATGTGCTGACCTTCTACTGTCTTCTGATTGTATGTATTATAATAGTGTGTGCATTTTCTTCAAGAAAAATACAAAGTAAAACAATTTGAGAGAAAATCACAGACATTTGTTTATACTACAGCAGTTCAGGAACATGTTTTGTTGCTGTGTAATAAGATGGGAGGTTCACAAAGCTTTTTGTTCCATGTTACATTTCCACTTTCTTTTAGTAATTACTGTAGCAAATCCATTTGCTGAGGATCTCATAAGTGTCACTTCAACTTTTGGGATAATCATGGCAATGCTGAACTTGGAATTCAGATTGTGTCTCAAAACACATTGTTTCAAGTGCCCAGAGACGGTGTTATATATGGCTTGCATTATGTTTCTACCCAGGACAGACTGTGGCCTCCAACCCACGGACTTGGTTCTGGATTGTTTCCTGTTTCAAGTTGAACATTTGGACCTCTTGGTGCTGGTATAAGAGAAAACTGATTGGTGTTTTCCTTGTTGATAAGTTTTAGGGACAGGGACTGGTAGCTGGAGGAGAAGAAAGGACCTGTAGCCAAATTGACCCATGGGATATAGGCACTGCATTATAGTTCAATATTCTAGTGACAGGTAGTTTAGAAGTGAGACCTAAAGATTAGATTAGATTAGATTATATGGCAAATTTGCTGTCAGTAATGGTGTCATGGGCTTGAATGTCTGGAGCAATATATACATCACTGACAGGAAGGGCTCAGAAGAGAGTGCAACCTCTCTGCTTCTTGTCTTGGTTTGGCATTTTTTAGATGCTAAGATCAGCCTGGTCCCTGTTGTTTCCACCACTGATATGAGGCTCTTGCCTGCAGACTGCTTAATGAAGGTTTGGCCCCTCTCAAGCCCTACCAACAAGGGCTCTATAGTTGCTCTTGCTCCTCTGTTATTTGCTAACTGAGAAATACCACACCATCATTGTTGTCCTTGCCTCTGTAGGTTTTAGAAATTAGTAACGGTTGCTATTTTCCCCATACCTTCTTCGTGCTTTTTGTGTTTCCTCTTCAGGTGACGCTTCTAGATCTTTTCCTGTTCCTGATGGTTTGTAAGGCTTGGTCCTGGAGGCTTCTTCTGCCTCTCCAGCATTCCTGTTGCCTGGTGCTGCCCTGCTGCAGCCTTGGTCCCATGGGGCTTGTGTGTTCTGCTTCTCCAGCTTTTGCCTTGCCTGGTGCAGCATTCAAGCAACACCTTAATAAAAAGCTTTCCTCCCTTATCTCCTCTCTGCTGCTCTGCCACTGGGCTGGGGATCGGGTTCCCATCTCTTTCACACGCACACCTGGCCATAAAACACCGGGTTTGTTTTTAACCTCAAACCAGGGAGCTTTAATTAAAGAGACAGTGACCTCTTTTATGAGTTTGCTCGCATAGGGTTTCAGGGCTATTGTCACATACAGCTCACATAACAGAGCACTATTGCACAAAGCTCCATTTACACATCCTTCCCCGGCTTTTTTCCTCTCTTCTTTTTGTTTTCCAAACTCAGAAGGAGGTTGTTTTCTTGTTTACCCCTAGGCAAAGTTGTCTCTCATGTAGTAGTACCCTATGGCTAACAGTTTCTTTGAAGAGAACCTACCTTTCTTACTAACAACACATAGATGTCATTAGGCTTGGAGAAATGTTGTTCTTTAATCTATGCAGGAAATAATCTGCCTCACCCTAAATTTGCTGGATATGAGTGACTGGCTAAAATGAATCTCATCCTCTGTTCCAGTCTCTCTTTAGCTAGTTCTCATACCTGTGTAATGGAATTTGTGTGTTTCTTAAGACAAATACTTCTCAGTATTCACTGTTATATTTACCTATATAATTGATTTTTGTGTGCAATAAGTAGTCAAGCACAACAAATAGAATTTTTATATATACTCAAAAATAATGTGTACAGGGACAGGCAGCAAAACTTGGCCAGTTTTACACAGAATAGTTTACATGTAATTTACAGAAAAAGTTTCGCAACTATGGACACGTGTATTCCCATGCACATGTATTCAAAGGTACACACAGGAGCATGTGTGCAGACCAGAACTTTTTTGATATATTCAGACTTCTGAAAAAGGCATTTAGGCACAGAAGAGACCCAGCTGGGACACAGAGACAAGCAACTACATAACTGGTGGAATACAGAAGCACACATGGAGGATATGCACACAGATATACGTGGAAAGGTGTAGGTGCCTCCTTAGAGCACCCTGTATATAGGCCTTCAGAAGCAGGTACGAGGGTAGGTCTGCAGGAAAATATGTATGTAGAAACTTAGATATGCCCAGTAACTGTGTAAGTTGTATGTGAGTTACTGTGGACACATGCAGCATGTTCAGGTGCTGGAGCTTTCACTGCGTCGTGCAAGGTCTTTGCTGTCAATGGTATTGCTTTCAGTAAAAGCTCACCAATATGAAAAAAAAAGAGATGGTTTAGCTGCGAAGATTGTAGATATGAGAACACATGTCCTTATTTATACAGATAGGTAGATATATATTGATGCAAATACAGTTTTGTTTTTTTTTAATAATATATTAATACAGCTTTGCCTAGGCACAAATATACCACACACACAGATATGCCCATGTCTATGCTCATTGAGAGAGACTCACTCAATATCTGTGTATGTGTGTGTTGGGAGAGGGTCATAACCTCCTCCATTCTTCTCCTGAAGGGGTTTGGATAATGAAGGGAAAAGAAATGAGGCCTGGGGCTAATTTGTAGTGGCATTTCCTGGCCTCTCTTATGCCAATGAAGCTCCGTTTCATCTTTAGCCTTATCAATTCTGCAGTCATGTGGCTTTCCGCTTGGACGCCTTTGTCTCTTCACCCTCCTCCCCAATCTCCGATGCTAATGGAAACTTCGTTAATGCCATTAATCTACTGACCAGGACAAGTCAAAAACATATCCACACAATCTGAGCCAGGGCCACAAGTGTCCTGGGGCTGCCAAACAGAGGCACCCCCTCTGTTCACTGCATTCCCAAAAGAACTTCATATTGATTTCTTTCTTTCCTTCTCTGCTTTCTTCCTTGATGACATTGAATCCTTCAGAACAGGCACCAACTAGATGGGCTTTTCTTCCTGATCACTCATAATGCTATTTCTGCAAGCATCCTCTCCTTACCCTTTCCCCAGTTGTAGTGTTAGTGCCTTCTTTCAGTGGCCCCTCATGGCAGTTCTTTTTTCCTTACACTGTCTTTGGTGACAGGCTTGTTACTAGTATTTTCTCCTCTTGCCTTGTAGGATTCGTAACTAACCAGATGCAGTAAGAATCTGCCTGAACTGGGGTAAAATAAAAATCATTCCATGCCACCTTGCTATTAGCTGAGCAGATAAAAGCGTTTCCTTACCCAGCTGTTGTTGGTTTTTGATTGTGCAGTTGCCACCACTTGTGTACTTGAAGAGTTGTGCTGTTGGGTTGCAGTGTCCTCTGAAATGTTCTGAGCAGTCCTAAATCACTTTTGGGAACTGAGGACATACCACTGCTTTGTATTTAACTAGTATGCTGGGGTTTGTAGTGCTTGACCATTGCCTGTCACATCATAGATTCTCTTAGCTATGAGTTCACCTTTCCCTGCCTGTGCAGCACACCTGCAGAAACTCACAGCTCTGAGCAGTGACTCACCATCTCCTTATGCCACAGCATTGTCCAGTGGCTGAGCATGGGGAAGTTCCACGTGTCAGGACTGTGCTGGCTGAGAGGAGAAAATAGACTGTTTGATACTAGTTTTAGGAGAAATTTTCTGTGATAATCAGAGTTCATAGTCAGCTCTTGAGAATGTCAGGATGTTGAGTGATCTGTATTTGATCTAGGAATCTTTGTATACGTAAATGAAATAGTGACAGTGGAGGAGGAAAAGACAGCTAGGAAAGACATGCAGTCGGAGTTGTGACATATGGACATGTTTAGAAAAAAGCATCAAATTGATGAAAACAAAGAGAGAAGTTGGCAGTTCAGCATGAGCTTTGATGATGTCAGGCTAGATCTGGAATGATATGGGCCGTGACAGAAGGCTGAGCCCGAGTTGCCACCTTCACACAGACATCGCAGTAAAAAGGGATTGTTTTACAAGGAGAGAAGACAAAGAAGTTTCAAGTTCTTTAGTCCTGTCAGGGGTTGAAGTCAAAAGTTCATCCTCATGTAGTTTTGGATACACAGAATGCATGTCATTTCCTACCAACCAGGAGATGCTCCACTGAACAGAGCATCTTCCTCCTCCAGCCAGTTTTTGGGGTGAGACATACTTTTTCATCTTCAGGGCAGATGAATGCATTGCACTGTCTGATACAGAAGAGTTTGTGCTGATTGGTACCATGCTTGGTTTTGGGATATCACTGAATGAGAGGGGAGAGTTAAAAAAGGAAGACAGTGTGTTACATCTTGGTATAAAATAAAGAAGGCAGTTGGGATACTCGGTGCCCCCAAATGCCTAGTTAGATGAGTGGGACAGCATCTGTAAACCTGAAACCAGCACTTGCTGGGGACGCTTTCAGAGACCCACTGAAAGCAGAAAACTAAAATCAAATCCTTGTAGCCTTAGCAGGTGTCAGGGCAGTTAATAATTCATACAAGAGTTAAGCTGGTGGGGTGGTGTGAGAAGTAGAAAAGGCCTTGACTCTGTGAGCACTATTCAGCAACAACTAAAACACTGTTTACAGCACAAATCCAGAACACAGACCCCTACTAGCTGAAAATTAACTCTACCCCAGCCAAACCCAGCACACATACACAGGAAGGGGATGATTGTGGCACGCCATCCTGCAGTAGAACGTTACTAGGAAACAGATCTTCAAGGGAGTGAATAGTTCGTGTGCACCAAGCAGCTCCTTTCCAGGGGGCACCTTAATACAGAAGCAGAAGCTCCGGGCAACTAAGCCCTATCCTAGGTATAACATTGTCTTCTTCAGTGACCATGGCAATTTATCTTATCCCTTTGTCTAGACTTTCCGTGTTCAGTCCACTCATATCACAAACTTCTTGAGTAAGAAGTGTTTCTTCCTGTGTGTGCATCCCACAAGGAAGATGGTCCTCATATTGGCTAAAGTCTCTCAATATTACAGTACTATAGCAACCTATGTCTCCATATGGCAGGAATTGTGCATTAGACTGAGAAGTAGAAGGTGCTTTGGGCTTGTAATTGGTGTCAAGAAATAAATCAATTCAGCAAAACCTGCATTAGCTACCTTGGGTACCGGGAGCATCCCAGCTGTGGCAGCATAGAGCCTATCGAGGTTAAATTTGGATCGTGTCATGATGCAGCCTTCATGCTGGGAAGAACTTTAAAATGTCAGTGCTGTATGTCTTTGGAAAATTCCTATTTGAATGCCTCTGCTATGCACAGAACTGCTGCTGCCCACTGGTTGGTGTGCTCTGGCCCTTCTTTTGCTCAGTCTTTTCTAACTGCTAGCCTCATAGGAGCTCTCATACTGCTTTGCAGATTCTGCCCAGCTTCTATTTTGCCATGGGCAGAGAAATACAAATTTTCACAGACAAATCTATGTTTTAAAATCCTTGCAGTCAACAAGGATTGCTGTCTGTGCTTTAATGAAAGGACAATAAAAAGTAATCCTTGCAGAGTTTATTTAATTCAAAGATGCCAGACTCGTTAGACAACTGATGATAGAATGTGATTCTGCCTCTTATTAGTATGTAAGAATCATGTTTGCTGCTTTTGAAATAGCCACTTCTAGGATGAAATGTTGGAGATGTTCAGCTTTAAAAAAAAAAAACAAAAACCAGCCCTCAAAGCAGAGAGGGTATGGGGCAAATTTTATGTCAGGAAAAAGAAAATAGTTACAATAGAGGGACAGAGCCTTGCCAGAGATGTCTTGTAAAGTCTTGCAACAGAAATGTTGCAAGAACCTCTGGTTTACAGTCTTAGTGGGAAAATCTGTAAGTCCTGCAGGATGGGGCCTCCCACCAACAACAGGAGACACCAGCTCACTGGTTTAGCAGCACTGCTGTATGCAACACAGTTCTTAGGAGCACTGTGAAGCAGGGAGCCAGCCAGTCTTACTTCATTTATGAGGACTGACAGGATCACAGCACAAATGACTCCAAACCACACTTTTTGGTCTGTAGGTGTTTAAATGGGGACAAAATCCTGCCCTCTGTTTCCCCTAAAAGGTAATATAGATGAATGCCATTGACTTGAAAGGGGATGAGTTTATGTTATGTTTTTACAGTGGATGCAAGGGAGTGGTGGTCCTTGTTTCCAAAAACTTCCAGAAGCTG